TGTGTCCATTTGTTTTCAAGTTGCCTGTTGACTTATGGTGACCCCATGAATTTTGTAAAAATTTCCTAGGCAAGGAACATTCAGAGATGACTTTGCCAGTTCCTTCCTACAAAATTAAACAATAGCACCTAGTATTCATTGACTGTCTCCCATCCAACTACTAACCACAGTTGACCCTGCAAAGTTTCCAAGATTGGATGGAGCATCTCCTATTTTGTTCCCTCAGTGGCTATGCTGGATAGGTCTGAAGAAAAGGAAACATTGGCAATGTGTGGAGAGTCGTAGTTTTAGCAGTTCTAAAGATTGTTTTATAGTTTTAATAACTGTTTTGATATTTGGTAATGTACAGTTTTTAATATGATTTATGTTTAAAGTGTGGTTTTACTATTGTTGTTGTAAGGCATCAAATTTTTGCCCTAGGGGTGAGAAAAGCAATATATAAATGCTGCAAAAAATTAATAATAATAAATAATAAATAATAAAATCAATCCATACTTGGGCCCCTGGTTTTTTTTTTTTTGTCGTGTCAGGAGCGACTTGAGAAACTGCAAGCCACTTCTAGTGTGAGAGAATTGGTCGTCTGCAAGGATGTTGTCCAGGGGATGCCTGGATGATTTGATGTTTTTATCATCCTTGTGAGAAGCTTCTCTCATGTCCCCGCATGAGGAGCTGGAGCTGATAAAAGGAGCTCATCCGCCTCTCCCCAGATTCGAACCTGCGACCTGTCGGTCTTCAGTCCTGCCGGCGCAGGGGTTAAACCCATAGTGGGTTAAAGCACTGAACTGCTGAACTTGCTGATCAAAAGGCCGCAGGTTCAAATACGGGGAGCAGCATGAGCTCCCATTGTTAGCCCCAGCTTCTGCCAACCCAGCAGTTCAAAAACATGAAAATGTGAGTATCGCTTCTGTGGGAAGGTAACGGCTCTCCATGCAGTCATGCTGGCCACATAACCTTGGAGGTGTCTATGGACAATGCCAGCTCCTTAGAAATTGAGATGAGCACCAACCCCAGAATTGGATCCAACTGGGCTTAATGTCAGGGGAAAACCTTTACCTTTTATATTCGGGCCTTATATAGTAAGTTCTACCACTTCGGGAAAATAGTATATTGGCTCAGTAATGCTCTGACCAACAAGCAGTGGAGGAATGTGCATCATAGTTATTTCCCAGATGGTTCACCCAGGAAAGATGCTGGGAGCTAGTATCACACAAGTTAAAAAGTGAGTACAGATGAAGCCCGTGGGTCTTTGCTAGTGGCATTGTCCTCACTCCAGCTGTCATCCACTTCTAAATGATTAGAAAACTGGCTCTCATTAGGACTGCGGATGGTTTGCTCATGACTCCAGTGCACCGGGCTATGCTGGAAGGCTGGAGAGCATTTCGTTATAAATTCCTATTTTTAGGGGAATCTGTAATTCGGCTCAATGGATGAATTAGAGAGCTCCAAGCTCTCCAACACTGCATGAGGTTCATGCATGCCCCCCCCCCCCATCTCTCTCTCTCTTCCAAACATGCTCAACTTCTTTCTCAAGGAAGGAACAATCCTGTTGCAAAAGGTCTGCAATACTGCCTGGATAATAGCACCAACTGGTTTTACTCCAGTTGCAATTTCCTGGTAAACTGGAAGTTCTTCTCTCAAGATCCTTTGGGCTGGATTGTAGACACAAAGTACATAATATATATGTGTTTGGACACTTGTCAATTCAAATGCACATTTCCAAATATATTTAGAAAACACATAAAACTTGAGAGGGGTGGGGGATAAATTTGAAGGTGCCACACTGTAATAAGATTGGGTTGCTGTGAGTTTTCCGGGCTGTATGGCCATGTTCCAGAAGCATTCACTCCTAACGTTTCACCCATATCTCTGGCAGACATTCTCAGAGATTGTGAGGTCTGTTGGAAACTAGGCAAGTGAGGCTTATATATCTGTGGAATAATGTCCAGGGTGGGAGAAAGAACTCTTGTCTGTTTGAGACAAGGGTGAATGTTGCAATTGGCCACCTTGATTAGCATTAAATAGTCTTGCAGCTTCAAAGTCTGGCTGCTTCCTGCCTGGGAGAATCCTTTGTTGGGAGGTGTTATGTATTGTCATGTATTTCTTCTGGAATTTCTAGTTTTAATCCCAACCAAAGTAGATACACAAAGTCAATGAGATGTACTGATGTGTTGACTCATCATTTAATGATGGTTTAATAGGTCTACTTTAGTTGAAAGTAACCACTATGATTCAGTGGTAGTAGTAGTAGTAGTAGTAGTAGTAGTAATATTAATAATAATAATGGCTTACAGAAATGTAAACAGGTAGAGGCAAAAAGAAGTATTGGTAAATATATATGAAAAAATATTCTTAATATCAGTACAATTAAGAATATCTTAAAGATTCATATTTTTACATGATCGGAAATGAAATATATATATTTTTAAAATGGAAAGCTATTAAAAGCTCAAAACCAGTCCGAGTAGTAAAAATAAAAAAGTCTTTGCTTTCCAATTGGAGGACAGTAAGTTGGGACCATTTGAGTTGACCTAGGAAGGGAGTTGCAACATTTTGGAGTTGCCATCAAGAAAACCTTCTTATATGTTTCCATCAAACAGGCCTGTAAAGGAACTTTCCCCAAAGAATTCAAAGGCTGGGAATAACAGTACAAGTGAATCGCGCCTAAGCAAGAGAGGGCCAACTTTAGCCTAGACAATGTTTGATCTACATTGCAATTACTTGTTTCGTTGTCTTGACTGTAAGCAATTGAGTTGTAGTTTTTTGGGGCTGTATGGCCATATTCTAAAAGCATTCTCTCCTGACGCTTCACCTGCATCTATGGCAGGCATCCTCAGAGGTTGTGATGCCTGCCATAGATGCAGGTGAAGCGTCAGCAGAGAATGCTTCTAGAACATGGCCATACAACCCCCCCCCCCAAAAAAAAATCTACAACAACCCAGTGATTCTGGCCATGAAAGCTTTCGATAATACATGTGAGCAACTGAATTTGTGCTTGGTGAACAACTTTGCGACACTCAGAAATTTGTGATATGCAAATCAGTTGATTGAAATATAGTAACACTGATCGATATTTGCTGCAGCTAAAGTGAGTCTACACTTGTGTAAAGGGTGGCTCAAAAAGAGGAAGCTGGAAGGATCTCATAGACTCATAGCTCAGTAGAATCCAGTGGTGATTAGTGGCTATCATCCCAGGGCCCTTTCACACACATTTTCTGCTTTGAACTGGAATATATGGCAGTGTGGACTCAGATAACCAAGTTCAAAGCAGATATTGTGGGATTTTCTGCCTTGATATTCTGGGTTATATGGCTGTATGGAAGGGCCCTCAGTTGGGTAACGAATCCACTTCAGAGATTTCACTATATGGGAGCTGTCAGAAGTGCTGAATTTTGTCTCCTAAATAGGTTCTGCACCTTGGACAACTGTTTCAAAGTTTGAATTTTAAATCTGGAACAAATTCACCACTCCATTGATATGGGAGCTGCTAGAAGCCACTGGTATAGTATCAACACAAACTAGTAGTGGTTCTCGAAGGTTTCAGGTGGAGGCCTTTCTCAGCTCAACAGGCAAATAAAAAGCACTGAACCTAAGGCTTTTGCACACAAAACATCAAACACAGGCTCTAACCTTTTCCCAGATTCTAGCACAACCCAGTGTTTAAACCAACAATTCATCCCATTTCTATTTTGGCAAATATAGGTGCATAAGATGTTCTAATTTGCTCCAGATGTTAGGAATACACTTTCATTCTTTTAACACTACTTTTATGCCGGTTTTACTCCAAAACCAAGCAAAGAGGAGGCTCACGTAAAGTACATTTTCTCTCTATTGTACCACGTGCCACTGGGGGCAAGTGGGCAAAGGTCATGGCCCTTGTTATCGAAATCTCCTGGCCTGAGAAAGCAAGATTTCCACATAAATCACACAACCCAGCCTTCCTTTCATCCATTTTTCCTTCTTTCTGAAGTTACATGTGTTGTAACTTAGGCTATTTCCCAATGGCTTGGAAGCCCTCCAAAACACTGGGAAGCTCAGGAACAATGTCGCTAGTCACCCAGTTATACCGGCAGAGCAGACTGGAAGTGTCAGCCATGCTTCATAGACCTTTGGGCACAAGCTAGGACTTCTTCCAAATATAGTCCAGCTCCCTGTTTCCTTGTCGCTGTTATTGTTGTTGTCACCAAAGTTTTCAAAGGGCTCTTTCTCCTCTCTCAGAGGGATGGATGCGGATGGAGACACCACTTTGCGAAGGGAGGCCATGCACAAAGGAGGCATTGTGTGCAGGAAGAGTTGTACATCTGCTTCCACACCTGCCCCTTCTCCTTACAAGCCTTCTATCCTTTTCACATCCCTTGTGTCTTGCACATAGCTTTAGCCTCCCCAAAAGAAAGCTGTTCTTTGAGGTCTGTCTAGAATTAACCAAGATATCGCCACAAATCTGGCTATTTATTCCTTGCAAAGAGGGGCGGAGTGGAGGAAAAGAGATCACCAACTCTTTATTAGGGAACTACAAAGCTTCGTATGCTCCCATTTGTGGTCCTGTGTGCATGTGTTCCTTCCAAAGGGTGGGTACAGAGGGCTGCGGTGCTTTGTCCACTGTCACAAAGAGACAAACCGCCGTTTCTTGGCTATTGAAGGGGAAAGCTGGCTGTTGAAGGGGAGATGAAGAACTGGAGGGTGGGAAAGGCATGCTAGTTCAACCGGAGGACCAACAAAGCAGTGGTTTGCAGCCAAACAACAGCAAGACACTGGCCACTTTGAACATACCTTGTGTGCCAGATGCCCAAGCCTTTCCTATAGCCCAATAAAGTCCACCATCAATGCCCATCTTCCCTGTTTCCCAAGCAAAGACCTTTACATATTTACAGAGAAAGTCTATTGTTTTCTCCTGTCTAAACCCCAAAGGCTGAGATTCGCCAAGCATAAAGGAACTCTGTCTAGCTCAGCAAAAGCAATCAAAAGGAAGAAAGAGGGAGAGAGGAAGGGAGGGAGAATGGTACCTTATTCTGGGAGCCTGAATTGCCTTCTTTCTCCATCGCAGCAGCAGCAGCAGCGCCTATTCATCCTTTAATCCTTGGAAACAGAGGCACAATTCAAAGCATCTCACTGCATGAGCTTCTTCCAAGCCTCTTCCTTTTGCTTTACTTTAAAAAAAATCCAAGCACAAAAACCCAAACCACACACACAAAAATCTTTCCTCCAAGCAATATTAGCAGTGATGATTTTTTTTACGACAATTATGAAAACGGCAGTGATTGTAGCATGACACTTCTCCACCTCCTCTTGTTGGGAAGAGCGCCGCTTCCCCCAGTATCAATGCAAAAGAGCCTGCCTTGAACAGAAAAAAAGGATGGGAAGAATGAATGGAAGAATGTTAAAGAAAGAGGGAGAGGGAAGGAAGGAGGGATTCGGAGGGAGAGGAAGAAATGGGAGGCGGAGGGAGGAAAGGGCAGTGGGAGGGAGCAAGCGAAAAGAGGCAATGCCTGGCTTCACATCTGTGGCTGATGGGTTTATGTCTATAGAAACACTGATGGTTCCCCCGCCTCTTCTGAATGAGAGAGAGAGAGAAAAAGAGAGAGAGAGAGAGAGAGAGAAGGACCTCAGTGGCTGCTAATGGTCTGTACCAATTTATTCCACTCAAACAGGGGGGCATTCTCCCCACAAGAAGAGAGAGCGAAGCCAAGCCAGCCTTCATGGTATCCCCCCTTCGCTGAATTGGCTTCTCCGCTGCCCGCTTGTAATTGCATTTCCTATAGACTATAATGGAGCCTGAGACAGTGGGAAGGGGATGTTTGTCCGGCTCAACGGGTGATGATAAAGGTGCGCAAAACCCAGTGGGATGGAGAAGTGGTCACAATGGGACACTGCTATGTTTGCAGGGAAGGGGGCGAACATTATGATGGAAGCAGACACTGTTTGCTTGTTCGCAATGTTCACACTGGATGGCTCAGCTCATTAGCTCCTTTTGGAAAGAGACTCTGTTGGCATGGATCAGGCACTGACCAAAAGGAAACACAGAATTATCTACTTTACCTGTAAGTGTAAAGCTCCATTGCACAATCCTTTCTCCTGCCCAAGTTCTTAACTGAGAAGAACCACCTTTTCAAGATCTCCTGTTTCTTCAATTGCCTTCTCCTTCCCATGATTTCACAGCCTGGGGCCACCTTGGTCCATGCTCAACCCCTTCTCTTCCCCATTTATCATATTTTCCATTTTCCTCCTGTCCCACAGATCTCACCTCTCTTGTGTGAGTTTCGAAGCCAGAAGGTGGAGCTGAAGTGTAGCTTTAGAAGAAGAAGCTGAGCATGTAAGTGAGGGAGAGAGGTGCTTGGTGGCAGTCCCAGTTGCAGGACCAAGGGTAGGGAATTGGAGATGCCATGGAGCTGTCCAACTTGGTTGGTATCTAAGGACCTCATCATACTGAGGTCCTGAAGTTGGGTGACAGCAAGGGGGATTCATTACATAACATACAAGAAACCGCTGCCCCACATCCTGTATTTGTCAGCGTTAGCATTAGTAGCCCACATAATGACTTAGCCCTTTTAACTCTAAGTGTGATAATAATCTATATATATAATAAAAGTGAATGTTTGTTTGTATGTGGCAGCTTTCCGATTGCCTGCCACTTTCACAGGCCACTGTGATTAGCATGGGGGATGGACCTGGACCCAACTTGGCACACATAACCCCCATGAACCCCCTTTACGTCCTGGTGAGGTTTGGGGGTGGACAGACAAAGGATGATGCGATTTGTAGTACTTTCAAACCCTTTGGTTACCACAGACCACTGTGGCCCCCAACAAAGACCGATAAAGACCAAACTTGGCATACAGAGCCCCCATGACCCACTTTACCTCCTACTGCAGTTACGAGGAGGACGGACTATAGATGATGGAACTTGAAGTACCTCCTCACTTCCCGAGACCATTGCAACCCTCATTCAATGACTGATCAAGACCAAACTCAGCACACAGAGCCCCCATGACCCACTCGACCTCCTGGTGCAGTTTGGAGGAGGATGGACCATGGATGATGGAACTTGAAGTACCTCCATTCACTTCCCGAGACCACTGCGACCCTCATCCAATGACTGATCAAGACCAAACTCGGCACACAGAGCCCCCATGACCCACTTGACATCCTGGTGCAGTTTGGAGGAGGATGGACCATGGATGATGGGACTTGAAGTACCTTTACTCACTTCCCAAGAACACTGCGAGCCACATAAATAACTGATAAAGACCAACCCTGGCAGACAATGCCTTTCTGAAAAAACCCGGCCACCACCGGGTCCCCAAGCTAGTAACTCATAAAAGAAAACATATGAGTTTTTCGCTTTAAGTAGAAATGAAATGAAGTTCTATTCACTATATACAAAGCAAGACAGAAGAATTGCTCTCACCAAAATATAACAAAAACAATATATTTGGTGAGTCCTCTTCAATCAATATGCAGACATGTAACAGAATAATATACCATCTCTCTTACTTAGTTGTCCATAGAGTGACTTTGTCTTGCTGTAAACAAACTTTATCTTCAGGACTAAGGAGCCCTTGGTGGCGCAGTGGGTTAAACCCCTGTGCCGGCAGGACTGAAGACCAACAAGTCATAGGTTTGAATCCGGAGAGAGGCGGATGAGCTCCCTCTACCAGCTCCAGCTCCTCATGCGGGGACATGAAAGAAGCCTCCCACAAGGATGGTAAAACATCAAATCATCCAGGCGTCTCCTGGGCAACGTCCTTGCAGACAGCCAATTCTCTCACACCAGAAGTGACATGCAGATTCCCAAGTCTCTCCCGACACAACAAAAAATCTTCAGGACTCTGCAGAACTGCTCCTGGCACAAAACAGTTCAAAACGTGCCCTCAAGCAAAGCTTAGAACACAATGCTCAAAGTTTCAAACACTTAGTGCTTTGCTATATACAAGAAACAATATCACACTTAATTAACCCATAACAGCAGCAACAGAAAAAACCCTCGATCCTTTCTAAGACTTAGCAAAAGCCCATTGCAAACCCCTAGTAGCAACAGTATTGTCCATTGTGCCTGTTTCCCCCACCACATGGGGGAAAGTGTTTCCACCCTGCTCCTCTCCCTCCCGTTCATGTCAATGAGAACACGGGACCCTCCTGTGTTCTCTGGGCAATGTCCTAGCATGCTGTCAGAATGCTTTCTGCTGAAAATACACTTACATCGAGAAAGCATCTTGGAAGCATCCATGTGATGAGGTGGTGAGAGGCCTTCAGCAGGCAGTTGGCTACAGCTGTAGTAATACAGCCATGCCCTGAGTTTTGGTTTCGGAGTAGAGAGAACTGGGTTTAAATCCAACGACCATAAGGAGGGAACAGACTCTTGCATGCCCAATTTTTGGATGGTTCTTACTTTTCTCACATTGACCATCAATTACCTATTAGTTTTGGTTGCTTGCAGGTATATGTTCTCCAAAACATATTGCATTAAAATAGCAACCACCAAGTAAAGCAAGGCACAATATAATTGTCATGAAAGCAACGGTGAAGTAAACATCTAAATACTCCAAGTGCACCAGATTCTATCTGATGTTGGGAGCTAAACAGGGTCAGCCATCAGGGATTCCCAGGTGTTGTGGGCTTTGTTTCAGAGGAAGGTCTTGGCAAAATCTAAGAATGCTTGGGGTCACCACAGGCTATTTGAAAGCACACACACACTAGTGAAGTAATAAATAAAGTAGTAGAAAACCGAGCAAATAAAAATGTAATCCATACATCAAGAAAATGGAAAACATGCAAGTGAAAGCAAAGGTGTCACTGATAAAGTCTCTTATCGTTTCCCCCCATCCACTACCATTCTTTAAAAGCAAAGTCTGCCTTCAAGATTGCACACATAATGATCCTGAAATAAAATGTGAAAACAACACTTGGAATGTATAGAATCAGGTATTGGCCACAGCCAAGGAAAGGGCAAACCGATTTTCCTTCCATCAAACACTTTTGTGGGGTTAACTTTCACAAGTTATTCACAGCTTCAATTAAGTTGTGGCTTTTGCTGACTTTTGTATTTGATCACACGTCAGACACTTCCCAAGTGTCTAGGAATGTGTGATGTATCGGTGATTAAAGCATGCAGATCTGAGTAGGGTGTCCTTTTGCAGCTGACAGGTGGCAATTTTGTCAGTGCTGATTGTTTTTAAGTGCAGGCCAAGGTCTTTAGGCACTGCACCCAGTGTGCCGATCACCACAGGGAGCCACCTTGACTGCCTCGTGCCAGAGTCTTTGCAATTCTATCTTTAAATCCTCACATTGTGTAAGCTTTTCCAGTTGTTTCGCATCAATTCTGCTGTCACCTGGGATTGCAACATCAATGATCAATCCTTTTTCCCCCCAAGGAGTCTTGTGCTCAAAACTCTGTCAGTCTGAATTTGGAACTCCCAGAATAGTTTTCTGTAACTTTTTCAGGCTTGTGATCCCACCAGTTCTTTGTCGCATGCAGATGGTATTTGTGGCACAAGTTCCAGCTGATAATCTGAACAGTGATGTTATGCCTCTGCTTGCAGTTCATCTGCACAATTTTCTTGCAACAGCTGAGTATGTGATCCATCATTTTGTTTGCTTCCTTACAGAGTCTACACTTGGAATCTGTCATCATCTTTTCAATTCTGGCTTTAATGGCATTGGCTCTAATGGCTTGTTCTTGGGCTGCAAAAATCAGGCAATCCTTCTCCCTTTTCAGAGTTCCATTTGTGAGTTTCATCTACATTTTCCTTGTCAATTTTGTTTACATTTTCCCCAAGAACTGTCTATTATTATTATTATTATTATTATTATTATTATTACTAGTTTTGAACAACTCACTATTATGATGCAAACCGGGCATTACTGTAACATCCCAAGAAGTGAGAGATTGGTTGTTGTAGGTTTTTTGGCCTATATGGCCATGTTCTAGAGACATTTTCTCCTGACATTTCGCCTGCATCTATGGCAAGCATCCTCAGAGGTAGTGAGGTCTGTTGGAACTAGGAAAAAGGGTTTATATATCTATGGAATGGCCAGGGTGAGAGGCGGATGAGCTCCCTCTACCAGCTCTAGCTCCTCATGTGGGGACATGAGAGAAGCCTCCCACAAGGGTGGAACAAAGGACACTTGTCTGCTGGAGCTAGGTGTGAATGTCTCAACTGACCACCTTGATTTGAGACATTGAGACAGTGGTCAGTTGAGACATTCACACCTAGCTCTAGCAGACAAGAGTCCTTTGTCCCACCCTGGTCATTCCACAGATATATAAACCCTTTCCTAGTTCCAACAGACCTCACTATCTCTGAGGATGCTTGCCATAGATGCAGGTGAAACGTCAGGAGAGAATGCCTCTAGAACATGGCCATATAGCCCGACATTTTTTTACAACAATCCAGTGATTCCAGCCATGAAAGCCTTCGACAATAAAGTGAGAGATACTTTGTTTGGGGAGAACAAACTGTGGAAGATATTGAACATTTCTTAATTGACTGTCCAGCATATACTGAATTGCGATACAGATATTTACATCCAACTTCAGGTCCCTCAACAGAAATGATCTTCTGACATTCCTCTCGCAAGGACAGGAAAGATCC